ATTCAAGAAAAGTAAAAAACGGAGCATCTGGGGCACAGAGCATGTAAAGGTGTCTGTAATAGTAATGTCAGAGGGATGGCCTAGTGATAGAAAAGGAGTGAGATTTGAAGAAATGTGAAATAGGTTTTATTGGACTAACTGTATACTTAGGAAAGGTAGACAAGTTTTCAGTCACAAAACAATCAGGAGGCCGTTGCTTTCATGCACACAGAACAGCATCTGGTACAGAACGCTAGCAGCAGCAGTATGGAAATGAGGGGAGAAGCATTACAGAGGAAATTACCCAGAGATTCTCATAAAATTAAAAATCTTTCATTATCATGATGGGTTAACTTGGGACACTTCTGGAATTTTGCGATCCATGCACATGCGTGATGAAATTGATGCTTTTTACAAACAGTCCTGCTACCATGCTAGGATGAATTGCTAGGATGGTTTCTAGTTTTAAAACTAGAGTGCAGCTAGAAAGAGCTGCAGCACCAAGACGATTTCATTTTAGTGAAATTGCCATTAATGTTTCACCTAATGTGAGCCAGTTTTCTCCTTCACTTAGGAAAAATGTATCCTTAAACACTCCATGTTCCATCTGATTGCACTAACAGAATTCAGAGCAATTAGTGATGTGTTTCTTTTGTACAGTAACAGACTGAACACCTGTCTTTTTTATAACAATATGATTATATTTTTGTTAAGAGTAAAATAAAGAAAGTTAAATACTAACTTGTTTGGAAGAAGTAGATTTAAATCAGAGGGACAGTAACATAAAATCCACTGCTTATTTCGTTCATGGATTAGAAGTCATTCTCAGGCTGAGGTTAGTTTGGGTGGGACAGCATTACAAGTGTTTGAGCCATGAGAACAGCATTCTTCGTATAGCTGTTTGCAGCTAACACAGTGGGTGGGATTCCCAGAGGAAACTATCAAGTAACATTACCGTATGTTAAAATAACTTCAGTTTAAAGCCCCCAAAGCTATAATCATTGATAGGACTCTGCCTGAAGAACTCAAGTGCTCAAGAAACAGTTGTTCCAGTGACAAAATTTTCACAGCAGCAGGCATCAGATGCTCATATACTCAGTACAAAAAATAAGTACGTAAGGCTTTATAACAATTAAAAAGAAAAATAAAGGTATGCTGATGAACGCAAACGACCATGCAAGGTAATTATACAAATTACATTCTGACTATCCTTTCCACAGAGATAGCAGGGGCTTACCATATTCCTCCCTACTTATCTTTAGAGATTGAACATGCATGGAATGCAGAATGTTTTTATCTAGAAGCACCAAATTCCTTAAAATACCAGACCTTTGATCTCTCTGACCTGAAGTGACAGTAATAGAACTTAGGAGACAACAGCTGAATTAGCCATTAGTCATTAGCCACAGAACACTTGCAGTAACAAATACATAAATGCACTGCAGTTTTGAATGATTCAAAGAATTATGTGAGTGTAAGGCTTGCTTTGAAAGTGGAATCGTACAGAATGAAGTTTTTTCAGATGTGGAAAATTAAGTTCTTATTAAAAAAAAATGCAATAAAGTTGTGTTTTATAGTACCTATATCAGTAACTAATTATGAAGTTAAACAAAATGCTGTACATCTCTATTTAAAATGTCACTTATGGATATTATTTAGTCTAGTCCTTTGGGTTTTTCTTGATAAAATTTCCCTGCAAGCACAGTATTTGGCTAAGTTAGAGATTACATGCAAAAACAGCACTTGATCTTGACAGCTTTGGCACATGCACTTAGGCATTGTCCGTGACAGAAAGATATATGAGAACTGGGTACACGTAGGCGTCACATGCCACAACACTACCCTTTCTACATGCACTTGCTTCTGTAATTCCCAGTACCACCTGCCTCAGACTGTAGGGAAGGCAAACCTCCTCCATTGCTCTCTACTTGGCAAGATATTTCAGGATCATGGCAAGGGCTGTGATGAAGAAACTGAAGGCACAAGGCATCAGAAAAGGTAGGCTCAAATGAACCGCTATGCCCTCAACCTGAACGCAGAGAGGAGGGGACTGCTGGTCGTCTACCACTCAGTGAGTGCAATGATTTTCAGTACAATAAAAGAGAAGGAGGGCTACATGCCAGGAACAGACATTCCTCTGTGAAAACAGCAGATTTTAAAACCTGGGAAAGCTATATTTAAGTGCAAACTGATAAGGCTCAGAGCCTTGGTGAGCAAAAGACAACATCCACGAGTCACAAGAGAAAACAGACAACCACCCATAAATAGTTCTACTTTTAGTTGAGTCTGACTGGTTTGTCACAGCCCTCGGGCTGCTCTCCAGCTCTGCATAAGGCGGGACATGCCTGAAGCTCTGAACAATTCCCAGACTTTGTGCCAATAGTCTTCATACAGCCTTCAGACCCCCCTGACAACCCTAAATCATAGGTGATGTTGCCGGTACCAGCTTCCCACACTCTGCTCCTTTCTCCCGTGAAGTAACTACAAAACATAAACTGTTCAGTAAGACTGGAAGCTTGACAGTGCTTTCTGCTCATGACCTGATCCCAGCTTTATGGGGCCATCCAGACTGACCATGAAACTGCTGGCCTGTCAGAAGCTCCTTTAGACTCGGGTGCTGTCTGCTTACTGCACCCAAGGATGTCCACCAACCAGCAGCTGGGTGGCCTCTGGGCAAAAAACAGAAGGCAGGTCAGCAAAACAAAAATGAATGCCAGACATGTCAGTGAAAGCACCATTTAAATGGGTGAATTCTCCCACTGACTTTGGTATGAGCAGCATCATACAAAAGGAGAGGAACTGATATAAAGCACATTAGCATTTTAATCATACCTCTCCTTAGAAAGTCTGTCTGGAAAGCTCTCCCTAGGAATGGTATCTACAGTATAGCACTTGTTTCCTGATGCAGATCACTCACAGAAATAGACTTCTGCCTCCTAACAGAGAAACAGGGGCACAATTCAGTAACTGAACCATAAAGAAATGTAACTCATAAGTTATCATGCAGCTCAGCTCCACTCTTCGCTCAGCTCTGCCACCCTTCTTATACAGGAATTGGTTGTACCTGTGGAGAAGGTAGCATTGCTGACTGTAAGCCACTTCAATCTTTTCAAAAGTTTTCTCCACACCTACAGACAGTATCTGGTGCTTAGTACAAGGATTCAGAAAGTATACATCAATCCTTTGAAAGGCAAAGCAAGCAATGAGGAAGAGAAGGATCCACTCTCAGAAGCGGTGCAGGACATGGATTTGTTTGCCCATTCACAGCCTGACCTTTCCTACCCTTGAGTAGCCTGCATTGATTTCCATTTGTGCAGGAGGGCAGTGGCTGAGCACCACTTGCCCACCCACCCACTGTATCTGGGCAGGCTGGGCTCTGCTGCAGGAGGAGACTTCCATGAGGCCTCCAAAGAGCAGTTGGCATTCCAGTGCTCCTATCCCCTGTGTAGCGTGACACCACCTTGCCACAACCAACCTGTTTTCCCCCAGCGACTGCCTTTTTTTTTCCCCTCACTGTGCCCAAGGAACCAAACTCCCTGCTGCACTTGCTAGGTGTACACAGCATGGTACAAGAAGAGGAACTGGAAAGTACTGCAATGCCACTGAAGGACCCAGTCCAGGATCAGCAGCTTGCACAGGTACTCCAAGGACCCCCATAGTATGGTGAGGCCACCACATGCCCTGTGGCCCCAGGAAGGGGTCCCAGTTGCTCTGCACCAGGCTGGCAGCAGTGCCATTTCACTGTCCTTGCACATCCAAAAAATTTTCCTCCCCACCAATGCAGTGCTGTCATAGCCAGCCCTGACTGGGAGGCTGGGTACAGAGCAATCTCTTCCCTGGGCTCATTTTCAAGTATTTCACTCCTAAAGGAGTTTATCATAAATAAGTCATCAAATTAAAGTAACTGAAGAATCCAAGTTTCTGTTATGTCTAGATTTAAGGTCAGTCATCTCATTAAACAGGGTCTGTTTAGGCAGTATGATTATGCTCAGTGTGAAGCACTCCATTCAAGAAAGCTTTTCTGTTACTGGTAAAAATAATCTTTGGATGGTTCTCTTTCAAATCCATTTAATAATATTGGTCCTGGAAATAAACAAGGTATACCCCCAATCTTTGTACTAGAATGTTATCCCTGAATCTTTTTTTCTTCAAGTAAAGGCTCAAACATAGAATGCAGCAGCCACCTGAAACATTACATCCTTCTTTTTTTTTTCTGTAAAACACAGAAAAAAAAGGATCCAAGTGCTTTTCCAAAAGAAATAAAATCATCCAGTTCAACCTTGTTAATGCAAACTGGGCCTTTATTTTCTGAACAGTCAATAGCTGTGTTTAATTTATCCCTTTAGTTATGGCCAGGCTAGTTTTTGCAGCTCTAATATTCCCCGAAGACTATAATATGATTTAAATGACTTGCTGGCATGGGAGAAGGGCTTTTCAAAGACTTTACAACCTATGTCTTTTCTGCTGCAGAGGCTAACTGCTAATGCATAATTTCATTTTTTCCATAAAGATTTATGTCCCTTTCTATCACACAGTATTAAGATGCCTCTTAGAATGTTCCTGTGAGATAGGAAAAAATATTGTAGCCCTGCCCTTACACTGGAAACCATGCAGTATCCTGTACTCTTTACAAGCCTTAATGGATTTTTTTTCCTGAACTGCTTGTATTTTAAATTTCACTTTCTGTGGGTTTGAAGATCAATAGAGGGAGGTGATGCTGAGGAACAGCAATTTAAAGTGTATAACTATTGTGCAGATGCTACAACTTTAATTATAGAAGCTTCTGTGCCTGTCCAAAACTTCTGTGATAAACAATCTGCTTACATAGTGGCAGCAACAAGTTCAGCATCCATGAATTTATATCCATGAACACTGGCTGCAGCAGCAGAGCTAATTTGGTATATCCTCAGAAGTGCATCCCATATGGATATCTTGCTAAGGGAAATCAGCTAGCTACCTTGTCAAGAATTATTTATATTGTTACATGGATTTTCACATAGAAGAAACACAAGTCTTTAAACTGCTTTCTCCAATTCCTTTTATTTTTAGCTGAACATATATAATGAACTAAAAAAAGAGAAAAAAAAACACAGTAATTTTTTATAACTCAATTTTTACAGTTGCCAAAATAATGACCTATGGACCAGAGCAGGCCAGTGTAAATCTTAATGCAGAGGTGGTCAGGGATGGTGACTCAGAAAGATGGTACCTGGCATGCTGGTTAACAGTTAAATAGCAGTTGGCAACTTTTCGTCAGTTCCAATGTCCCTCTCCAGAGATACCATCTCTGAGGCTTTGCCTGCAAAGGAAGTGGAACTGCTTTAATAATGCCAGAATATATTTACTACCTGTGAAGCAGTCATGCCAAGACTGTTAATGACAAACAGTACATAAAAGGAAACAATGCACAATGCAAAGTATACACATCCCAGTTTGACGGTTAAGATTACCCTGGTATAGTAATTTTTGTTAAAAAAAATAAAACCACGTTCTGACATAGTTAACATTACGATCTAAGCACATTCCTGCCTATGAAAACAAGTCTGTTAAGGACTTCCAGATGAATATGAGGCATTGTCTCTAACTCTGGTTCTAAAGGACCCATAAAGGCCCCTGTCTGGGGTTGAGGCACCTTAAGATCTCCTAATACAATCTCTGCAGGGCCCAACCTAAGCCAGCAGCATGCTGAAACTCTAATGAAACCCTTCTTTGAGACAGCTTACTACAAAAAGCAAGAGAAACAGGGCAAAGAATCTCCAACCACAACATCTTCTGGGTTTAGAGCATTTTAATGACAATTCTGAGATGCCCAATCCCATCTCAGCTTCTATTTCATAACACTCTCAAGTTTGTTAGTATTTCAGCTAGATAACAGTAACCCTACCTTCTCTGTCATATAAGTCCTCTTTCTTGTGTTGATGGCTGAGCTCTCACCCTAACAATTTCCTACTGAGCAGAAACCTTATCTCATCCATGATGTTCCTGTGTATCCACTATTGGGAGCCATCAACTGCTTTCTCCTTGTACAGACATTTGATTCATGCGTTCATACCACACAATTCTTATCCTACCTGATAGTTCTTTTTTGTAGAAAAATATTTCGTTCAGAGGGGCTAGGCAGGCAGAGACTTCACAAAAACTGGATCCAGTTGCTTTCAGTATTCCTTCTTTACTGATGTGTCAAATAATTTTTAGGGCAGGTCACCTGAATGAATGCAGTACAACAGGTTGGGCATGTCTCAGTCTGTTTTCAGTCACAGAAAACTATATGATTTGTTAACTGGCATAAATATAACCTGCACTGTCACAGTGCTATCAAAATACAGATTGTGAAAACCACTAAGCTAGCTACATACAAATTAAAATTACATTTAGCCAAGAAATCAGCTATTCTCACAGCAAATCATCCTGCAAGCGATAAAAAATAATCCAAAGCATTATGATAAGAGAAGAAGCCATAGTAATTAAATAAATCAATTATTTATTTTCTGAATATCATAACAAGGATTTGAAAAGCATTACATAAATGGGATTTCTGAACTGTTTTGACTCTTTCCAGTTCCTCATTCAGAGGTGGCCTCTGGATCTAGGACAAGGAATAATTAGCCACAGCCAGTAAGCAAAGATTGTTCAGGAAGGAGACTACAAATGCCTATGTAAATACAGGAATAAGAATTTTTATCTGTAGTTATCAGGTTGCCAGACAACAGCACGGGATAAAGTTGAGTGCTATTGGTTGCATTACCTTCCCTCAACTCAACAAGACAGATGTCATTTCTTAACACTATAGCTCCCAGACCATTTTAAAGGAAAATTCAGATCAAATTACAGCAGTCTCATATGTAGATCATGAAATTTAATTGTGGTGTCTCTGCACAGGGTGGGGGGTCGGAACTAGATGATCTTAAGGTCCTTTCCAAAACAAACCATTCTATGATTCTATGATACGGAATGGTCTTCCAATAAGTAATGCCGTAACAGGATTCTGGCTTTTGATAAGCTAAGACACAGGTACTAATTTCTTACAGGAAACTAACCTTACATATTTATGACTGAAATATTGCACTTCCTTGGTCTTTATCTGGACAACAAAACTTTGGAGAATTGCTTTCACTATCTAAAATGAAACACTTGCTTAGATCTTTGCAGGGGTTTTGTTCTCTCAATAGAGCTCTCAGTGAAATGCACACAGTAGCAAACCCATTTATCCAGAAGGTGTCCTCATATGTGTTGTGGCATTTGTAGTTCCTTCATTTTATCTTGGGATGTTTAGGAACAAAAAACCTAAGCACAGAGAAAACATACAATCATTTACCATCTACAGGCAGACAGATCTGTAAGTCTGAGCTAAGCTTAAACATACAAAAATGCCTTAAGCGAAATAAACCACTTCTTTTTAAGACATTAGGAGAAACTATATTTACTGTGAGGGTGGTCAAACACTGGCACAGCTTACCCAGAGGGGTTGTGAAGTCTTCATCCATGGGAGATACTCAAAACCCAACTGCTCAAACTGACCCTTCTCTGAGCTGGAAGGTGGACTAGATGATCTCCAGGGGTATCTTCCAGGCTCTGCCACTCCAGGATGTGTAAAACCAGTTAGTGAATCTGTATTCTGTCTGCTAGAAAGCCCAAAACACAGAAGAGAATTTCTCAAATTCCACATTTCTTCACAGAAAAGTTCTTATAATGAGAATTATAATGGATTCTTATAATTAATATTCAGAGATTAATTTTAGATCCAATAACATTAAATCAATTAGTTTGTTTGTTACTTATTACTTGATAATAAACAACTGAGTGATACAAGAGGGAAGTGGTAAGAATGTGCTATACAGCTGGGGCAGGGGAAAGACAGTTTGCCTCTTTCAGCAACAGCTAACTCCTAGTCCAACTGGATCTGTACATAAAATGCAAAAGGTAGGAGTGTGACACAAAATAGCAACAGAGATATAAGATGGGACAAGTGAAACTAAAATACATATGCACGTCAATCAGTAAACATGGATTAGCTGTGAAACAGAACTCATTAATGAAGCCCGTACTTCCTACCAGCAATTCCACTCTCATATGACAAAGTTTGCAACACATGATGAAACAGCAAGAGACAGGTGTCACAAATCCACCAAGTCACACGGTCGGGGAGTAGTCTCTTGCCAAGAACTGCTTGAACCACTTCAGCAAATACTTAAAAATGAAGCAGATGAGGTCTGAAGGGAAGATCCTGTAGCACTTCCAATCCAGAAAGGTGACAGTTGGGCAGATGGTGAAGGAGAAGCAGCAATCAAGGAAAAGGAAGGAAACCAGAAAGTGCATTCTTCTCCTAAAATCAATAGGTAAAGGAAGGCATTTTTGTAATTGCACATTCAGGAAGACCATCTCCAGAAGAGTGTGCACATTTTCTACAGTCTCCAGACAAAAACTCCTCCCTTGCAGGAAAAAAGAATCAATTAATTTAGACAAATTCAATGCAACCAAAAAAATCCCCCCAAAATGCATGTTAGTATGCTTCAAGCCCAGGCCCTAAGATCCCAGAGATCTTGGCTGCAACGTTCTGCATTATGCTTGCTTCATTTTAAGGCATTTTAGAGAGCACTCTGATGGACCTTGCTGCTGTACTGTAAATTATGACTTGCCTGCTCTGTCCTTGTTCCAGAGGCCACTGCCACCAGAGCAAAGCCATCAGAAGCGAAAATATCCCGAAACTGGAGGTGATCTAGTGCACAGACCAGTCTTTTAACGCTTTCAGAAACATCCTTCAGTAGTAATGCTGTGCTGATTTAAAGTGTTACCACCTGCACATATTACTCCTGATGAGAGGGAACTGGCAAAAAAGCAACTCACACCCACAGCCCTTTACTCCAGTGGAGAGCTACTGCCCTTTTCTCTGCTGCTGAAGGTGGCTTTGAGCTGAATGTGAAACACTAACTGTGGCAGCTGAAGGATGGGCACATGGTCTCTTCTGATGGCTATGTTAGACCACCCTAATTCTGACAGAGCAACCCTCAGGGTAATGCTGGGTGTGATGATGCTTTAAGTGACCATGGCAAGACTTGCAGGGCTCATCTGTCTATCATAAGAGTAAACCTACCTCCATCATCACCTTAAGTAAATTGCAGGGCTTTGTGCTGCAGTTAAGTGATATGCAGAGCCTCATTCTGTTCTATCAACGCCATGGTCAGGGTGGTCAAGCTACTACCACAGTACAGTTCCCCAGAGCTTGCTGCTTGGATTGACCTAATCTAGCAGAAAATCTCTTATTTTTCTGTATCAAAACCAAGAAAAAGAATTAAGCAATAAAATGTTGCAAGGATCTGTTTGGGAATGTGTGTTGTAATGAATGCCCTGGAGAAAGAGGAAGAATTAGCTAACACTGCTAATGACACTTGGTTGCTGTGGCTATCAAGTCTGTTGAGAAATGACTGTAAGAACTTGCAAGTAACATCAGGTGCAGTCAGCAGACCAGCAGCTGTTGAAAATGAATCTGTATAAAGACACATGTACAAACAGTGACACAACTGTCTATACTATTTAGTGGTAATCTTTGATCAAGCATCATGACAATAACAAGAATCCAGAAAATATTGTCTACCCCTTTTTTTTTTTGCCACATAGGCCCAAAATGAGAAGAATTCAAGAATTACCAAATACTTTACATGCAGTCGTTCCCACTGACATCAGAGACAAGTCTTACTTTACAGACTTTAAACTAGTCTGCAGTAAGAATCAGAGAGATTACTGATCACCCTGCATACAGTATTATATAACAGACAAGAACTTCATAGCCTTTTTACACTTTTTCCCTCAATATGAGATACTGGTCACTGAGATTGATGTAAAGATGGTTTAACTGAAGTAACAAATTATATAGTAGTATATAGATGGAAGCATACTAGTAATACATGCTTCCATCACATACTAAGATGTAACTGAAAAAAAAAAAAAAAAAGCTGCTGAAAGTTTTTTAAAAGTATTAAACTATACTAAACCATCACCTAAATAATATTTCAAGAACAGGTTGCCTTCTTACTGATTAGATCCCCTTTAAACTAAGGCTTGCTGTCTTCCTGTAAGACTCCCACCATGTCCAGCACACATCCTATGGTGCTTGCTGACTACCAGGTTGTTCGATACTGCCTTCACAGTTCATAGCCTGCATCTGTAGCTTATTTATTACACATTATAATCCAAATTCATTGATATTCTACTCATGGGCTTGTCTAACATGACCAGAGTATGTATGTACCTATCCGAATTCCTCACAAACAAGAAAGAATTCACTCAAACAGTCCCCTTTGCCAATGTTATATTTCTATTAACCTCTATTTTACACAATTGGAAATTGAGGTATGAAAATATTAATTACAAGTATCTCAAATGACACTGACGGCTCAGAAACATACAATTTTTTTTTTTCAGAGAATGCTTAAAATAAGAGTGGTACATAGATTTCACCTACATTTGCAAAAGCTCTGTATTTCTTCAAATCAAACTGAGGTTCTCAAGATGGATACCACAAAATAAGGAACACAAAAATGACTGACTGCTTATGAATCATCTATTTGAACTGACTGGCTGCTCATGAGACAGGAAATCTGCAGTAGCAGAAGAAACACCCCTGATTCATCAGGGTAGCATTCAACTGTGTGCCTATGAAGCTCCTTTATTTATTACAGTTTCTAGCACTAGTCACTATACTTTTTCCAGTTTCTTCAACAACTGAGGCAAAGATCCAACAGATAATGACCTTCGTAGAAAAACAAGAACGGAGTCCACTGGAAAGCAATATTGTTTGAACTAAAGGCCAGAGTGTAACAAGTGCCATGTAAGAATGTCAAATTGCAAAGCCAACCACCAATAATTCATGAGGGTTTAACAAGGAAGCTATTAAAAACAAAGAAAAATACATGCTTGATAAAATAAAAATCTTAAATCAAAATCACAGTCAGCTCCGGGGCTGAAACACATTACACCACCCTGCCACTTCACCTAAAATAGAAACCAAGAACCCCAGCAGCTTATCCTTTATGGAGAAGTGTAGGAAGGGGTTGAGACATGTTGCCAGTAGATTTTATGGAAATTTGTTGAGAGCAGGAAAGTTTCAAAAGCCTTCTGTTCCATTCCAGAGCTGCATGTGCTCTACCAAGCCATTATAGAAAGCAGGGAACAGTTTCACCAAAGGACTGAGGGAAGTTCTCTGCAAAACAAATCTCGTCAGGAAAGGCCTCTGTCTGTAAGAGAAGCATTTCTAACCAAGAACTCCAGTTTTGTATATTGCTTTAGCATAAAAACTGCCTTTTTTTTCAGTCTGGTCAGTGATTAATGCTCTTGTAAAAACTGCAGTCATTTTTAGTTTTCTTTTTTCTTTCATATAATGCTGAATAGCCACTAATTCATTCTGTAACTGACATAGCTGGGGCCAACTTTTCATCAAGATCAGCACTGCATCCACAAAATCTACATGAGCATTTACTGTATGTACACATGCTCATAAATAAGCACATAAGCAGGACTACACAATTTGTATTCAAAGATGTGGGTTTCTGAAGAGCAGCATCTTTCCATTACAATATTACAAGTAAAACATACCTTCAAATATGCACTCATTTTTACTAATTTGTACCTTAATGAAGAAGAGGAACAAATATTTACTTAATACAACATTTGAACTTGCCAATACTGTTTTTTAATGAACAGTTCTGGAAAGCTCACTAAGTTTTGCATTTACAATTTAACTGTGTGAACAGTCAAAAAAGACAACGTATGTACCTAGAAATTCACCACCAGACCACACTCCTCTCCACAACTCCCTCTTGATTATCGTATTTCTGCATTTATATTTCCCCATTTGTGATGCCAAATGAAATAAAATATCCCATCTAAAACATTTCACCTTCTATTTCCTATTGCATTGAAGGCCCCCAAGTTATCTTTTTCTTGAGAGTTTATCTTTTAATTAGCCTGTATCATCACATGATACATTTGAACTGAAAGTTTATGATTATACAGCTCATTTTGGGGAACTTTTGGGTGGCTAAGAATAACTGTTATTTACCCGTATTAGGACTTGACCATGATGCTCTGGCAAACACTAATATTTTAAAATGTGTCAGCTTGCACTTGATTTGTGCTTCCTGCATTTTCAATATACTAGAACACAAGGATAATACCCTGCCAAAAAATGCAAACCAACCACAAAAGCATGCTATAGAAAATTACACATTGCAACACCTACTGCAGCTGCTACATCTATCCTCCTAAATAAAACAAACCTAGGACCAAAGTCTGGAAATCCTGCTCACTCTCTGCTTAATTTCCAGTTGAACCCCTGGCAAAGTATAGTGCAGAGGCAGCACTAAGGGACCCTTACCCCAGAAGCAGGGTTTGTATTCCCTCCACACGCTGGGGTTGGCTGAGGATATCTCAGCAGGTTCGACACCTGCAGACATCCTTCACACCCTCATCCCATACCTTGGGGCATGCCGTACTTACCCTCACTTCTTGTTACAAAAGCACTATGTCAGGTTATCATACAGCCTTCTAAACATTCAAAGTGCTTGGAATTGGGGGGGGGGGGGGGGGGGGGGGTGCGGAAGTAAGCTAAACAAAAATATATAAACTGCGCTTTAGAGCAACCAAGTGATCACCTGGGGTGGGCGAAGGCAGGGGGCCATCATCCACCGAGCGTGCCACAGGCCCCCGGAGAGCCGGTCGGTGCAGCTCCGCTGTGAGGCACTCGTGTGGGGAGCTGCCGAGAACTACACAAAACGGAAACCGAAGCGCAGCGCCCTGCCCCGCCGCGGGGAGCTGCGGCACCCACCGCCGCCGGGAACCGGCCTCCGACGTGTTCCTTCGGCACGGGAGCCTCCACTGCGCGGTAGGGACCCAGCGGCCTGGGCCCGTCACCCCCCACCCTCAGTCCTATCTCGCCGCCAGTGACAGCGTGGCTGTGACACCCACGGTGCCACCGAGGGCCAGGCCCGAGCTGCCTGCCAGAGACACGAAAAAACGTATATATATACATACACACGTATATAGATAATAGATACATATAGTATATAAACGCCTCAAGATTAAGTTGTGAAACCGACCAACTTTAAGCTAAGGTTGCGGTGTTCAACGCGAAGCCCAGAGGCCCAGCACAGCCGGCCGAGCGGGGCAGGCAGGCCCGCTTCAGCCGTAGCCGGCTCACACCACCCTCGCCGGCCCAGCGGCGCGGCTGCTCCGCAGGCCGAGTGCCGGCCGCCGCCCGCTTCAGCGCCGCTCCCCCTCTGCCTCCCGCCGCGGTCGGCAGCTGCCGGCGGCCGCACCTCAGCCTGAGCACCGCGTCCTTCTCGGCAAAGCAGGAGGGCTCCGGGAAAAAAAAAAACTTGACTTTTACCAGGAGTGGGGTTCGAACCCACGCGGACATACGTCCATTGGATCTTAAGTCCAACGCCTTAACCACTCGGCCATCCTGGTGCAGATACAGAAGCCGCTCCCAGCCGCTCCTACATCCAAGGTGGCGCTTCCTCCCGTCCCCGCCCGACCCGCTGCTCCCTGCGACCCTCCACCGGCGTCCTCTCGCCTTGATTTCCTGCGCGGCAGGGCGCAGAGCGCTTAGGGCTACGGGCGCGAGCAGCCCCTCCCGGCAGCGGGCGGGCGGGCAGGGCCGGGAGCCTTGCTCTGCCGTGGGGCCCGTGAGAGACCGAGGGCCAGAGCGGAAGAGTTGGGGGGTGGCGGGGGAGGTGCGCGGGGCTGGCGCGGCCCGGCACTGAGAAGAGAGCGCGGGGGGCGTTGGGGTGCGGACGGAGGATAGGGGGTGCCGGCCCAGGGCCGCTCCGTGCGGGCCCATGGGCGCGCTGAAACGAGAAGGGTGGGAGAGCCGGGGAGGGCCGCGGTGCCGGCGCTGTTGGTCGGGGGAATGAGAGGGCTGGGGGGAATTCGCACCTATAAAGCTCAAAGCAGCAAAAAGTGAAACAACTCAGCACTTTTCTGCCGGCTTCCCCTTCCCTCGGGCGATGCTGCCGGGTGAAATACCAACTGAGAGGTACTCTCTGGAAACGCGGTGTTATTGGCGTTTAGCTTATTTATGCCCAGCTGTTTCCTGCAGTAGCTCTTCCCTTGCTCATAGAAGAAAACCAGAAACAACAGGGTCTGAAGCTATCAAGTATGCGTCATTAGGGAAAGATATTGCTGAGGAAAGATTTTTTTTTTGCCAATCACCACTAGATGCATCATCTGTGAAAGCACCTATTGCAATACCCAGGTTTAGTGCCTGCACTGAGAGCTTGCCCTTCCTCCCTGTTAAGAGGGGAATGGGAATGGGAAATGAGAAAGTGGACCATCACTGGCCTTGTCACCACACAGGCTCCCACTCTTGCCATCTTTGCTGACCAATTTCCAGAGGAGAAAATGGTCATCCTGCATCCCGCTAAACTTTGCCACCTTTGAACCTGCCCCCAAGGGATGAGAAACCCAGTACAACGCAGGCTGGGGAGGCTAGACTGGCAGCCTCTGGCAAACTGGAGGGGGCACGCAGAGGGCAGCTGCTTCCTGGTAAGAACAGGAGCACATAACACTGCTCTGCTGTTGGACACCCTGGTTGTAGTTGGCCCTTTGTAAGCCATCTGTGTTGCGAATTTGCGGGTGCAGGTGGTGTCTAACCTCTTCAGCCTATTACTGCTCAGAGACCCCCAGTACACAAGGCATGCCAGTGAAGGAAAATACTTCTCACATACAATAAAAGTGAATTGTTAACATTTTGCATAGATGAAGAAAAAATGTGAAACTCACACCTTCTTTTCCTTTAATTTTATTCACTCGCTGGAGCCCATGAATGAAAGAACAGCTTTTTGGAACTTACCCCGCTGTATCATGTGCTTAGAATGGGCATCATAGCATGACTAGCACTGCTCCCCGTTCAGTAGGGTTGTGCCTTGCAGCAGAGCACTGAGTAGAGAAATATCATCAGTTATCTCATTCTCTATTCTTCTTTATTTCTCAGAAACATACGAAAATGTTACTTTTTCCTGTCAAGACTTTATGCCCTAACAATGTATGCGCTGTAAGCTAAGGTGTAACAGTGGAGCAGTCTTCCACCAGCTGTTACTGGCTTCAGCTCAGCTATTATGAAGACACTATGCTAAAAACATGGAAGATAGACCTGCTATCACCTTCTTACATATTAGAGAAACAAATACCATGGCTCCATGTGCAAATCACATTGTGTCGGAAATAGATTAATCACCACATGCAGTATCTGTTAAAGGACACCGTTTCCTGCCTTCATCGTATCTGTGATACTTCCCTAGAGATGGAAACAACCACATGTAGCTCTCCTTTTCAGATAAATTCCAGATATCTCCCATGGTTTAAAAATCTAGAGAACCTGCTTTGTTTTCAAGAAATTACAAAATACAACTTGGGCTGTGCATTCAAAACATCCTTAATGTGGGTTAGATTAGAAAGGCTTAGTTTAGCTACTCAGTTCAGCCTCCAGAACGAAGATGTCTTAATCACAGAGCTATAGCTTTACTTCAAGAAGTTTCTCCCAAAACACATGCAGAGAGATGCCTGCTACAGTGTGCGAATGTGTCCATAGTCTGAGTCCCTTGCTTTGAAGTAGCAATTGTTTCACTGCCATTTCTCTAAAATTAAATCCATTCAAAACACTCAATAACAACAAAAAGCTCAAACCAAACCAAACAAAAATAAAAAACAAATAAGCCAAAACAAAAGATGAAATGGAGACTCATACACATATCCAGGAAGTTCACCATTATATATCAAACATTATATTTTGTAATAGGTTGGTTTTTTTTTTTCCTCTTTTATACTTATGCAATTCTCTTATATTTTTAGAAGGAGCCAGGTGTGCCTGGTTGCCAATTCTCCTTTCTCTCCTTCCTTCTCTTCAGGAAGGGCTGAAATTTGAAAGGTGTGAGGGAGGTTTGTGAAGTTTCTACTGCTTTCAGTAGGAAACAAAACCAAACTAACAACAACCCTAAAAGCTGAACCCTTACATTTTAACTGTTTTCCCCTCAAACCCAACTATAGGGTCAGCCACATGAGGGAAAATTAAAAAACAAACCATGGAATATGCCACATATATCTCCACAGGAGTTGTTCTGACTTTCAGAGCGAAAAGGCAGCTTTCCTCAGAAAGCATGAAGATGTTCATTCTGCAGTTTCTGTTATTAGTATGCTAAAATATCATCAAGCTACTTTTATCATCTTCTTCCACTCATCCTGTGTGGCATGAGTCTTTGCAACTATAGTGTGATCAGCTTTTTTCAACAGCCTGTTTAACTGTGACTAGGCAAGTTCATGGGCTGGCAACATTTCATTTCTTACACAACTGAGGGATAGAAAACCCCACATAGTATTAAGCAATGAACACATGTTTGCAAGGAAGAGAACCATTCCTTCAGTTACTGGAAATAATTTTTTAAGTGCCTCTATTCACAGTGTGACTTAAAAATAGTTAAAGGGTCTCAAGCTGGTATTTCAATAATTCTCAGTTTCTTCCTTGCAGCAACAGGCTGGAGAGAAGGTCTGCAATTACATTTTCCTCATGCTTTTGCTTTATTTCCCTGCGCCTCAAATCAGACTAAAGATTCAAGTATAAGCATTGCATATCTACTAATGAAATCATCAAGATCTCTCAGAACTGCCAGAATAGATTTTATTTTTTCTTGCAGTAGAGAATCATTTTAGAACAAATGAAACTATTTTTTTCATGGGTTTTATAGGAAAAATTATAGTAAGTCTATCTCAATATGGAACACATTTGATTTACTGTGGCAACAAATACGAGGAGGGCTTTTTTAGGCACTGTTTAATCTCCTTTCATCAACTCAGAGATCAGTCTAGCAGCTTTGAAACTAAACTTCCACAATGCAAGAAGCTGCTCAGAGATGCTTATTCAATGTAAAACGCTCTGCACTTTCAGATTTTCTTATGAAATCTTTTATTCCATGTGTAGACATACATATGTGTAAAAAAGAAACCAACAAAAAAATATATGTACACATTTCTATCAAAAGCATTGCTGAGTGCTAGATTATGCAGACAAAATGAAATATATATTTCATTCCTCATTGATTCATGCCCACACGCTGACCCTCAGAGGTTTAGGGTGTTTCTCTACAGATGCACTGTTCCATTGACTTCCATTGAATGGCAATACCTATGGCGTAAATGACTTTGTCTTCTTGAGTAGCACCAAAGCTACTGGTAATGGTGCCAGCTCAACACCCTCCTTTCTCCCACTTCAGGTTTGAACATGGGGTTGTTGGAGAGGTCCTCAGGCAAGCATAATACTGATATAATCAAGACATCACTAATTATCAAAATATTTTCTAGTTTAGAAGATTGGCATTCCTAACTCTTCCATGTTATCACAAACAGGTTCTTCAGCAAAAGAGACTTTCAGTGCCTGAGAAGAGCTCTTTTATTTGTGTAAAAAAGCCCATCTGGCTAAGAAACATTTCCCACTAGGATACAAAAGCATGGAAGTTGAATTTATTTTGCTGTTATATCAATATAAACAGTACAAAACTCTTGGGTGTTTTTGCACATATAAAATTAGTGTTCAAAAGATCAGAAGAAAAAAAGTTTCATTGTGATTGGTGCAGAGAGATAGCTATGCACATCTCCTGAGGAAAACTCCCAAATACAAAATATTTGAAATGTTTAAATATATTTATTAAAATAGGTACAAATAGGATCAGCAGTTTAAAAAAAAATCAGTAACTTCTGAAAAAAAAATGTCCTGCATTAATTCAGAGGACAGCAGTAGATCACAGTGTATCAGGAAGCCACCTAGAAATATAATACTTGGAAAACCTCCAGAAGTAGGAGCTATAATCACTCACCAGACTTCATGAATGCATGTTTCACGGACGACTTTCAGTGGTTTCCGGAGCTGCAATTTTTCTGTTACCTCCTCATATTCTAAATCTAGTTTGGCCAGACTCCCTTTACACAAAAGGAAAGATTACTTTCAAGTTTGAAAAGAGCACTGAAATGACATTAAAATGTTATTTTCTGTCTTCTTCGGGTGTTCAGAAGAAATATGTCTACTTTCTTCCCAGGTGGAGATTTCCTAACAGTGGGAGAAAAACCATAGTTTTGTACAGTAAAACTGCATTTTGATAAATTTAATCCTTCATATTATTAAAAATAGACATAAAAAATCCATTTTAATTCTTACTAAAAAAATAGAAGCCTATTGACAGGATAATCCTTTCACTAAAATTGTGTGTATGTGCCAGCACAGGAAACCCTAAAATGCCTTCTCGATTCCCCAACAGTTTTCTTCTTGTGTGTGCTGCTGCAGAAGGCCACTGCATGCCTCCCTTCTGGCTGAAGTGTTTATTGGCAGAAGAATGTATTAGAAGCATAAAAGCATGGCAGTTTTGAAATTGAGAGTGCAGACAGTGGCTCAAGTTAAAAGTCGGTGAGGTGCCTTGATGTTGCAGTGCTTCTAGCCACCTTGACAAAGTTGTGGATACTCAAAATTGAGAAAAGCAATCACTTGCACACAAACAGCAAAATGTGCATACTGTCATTTAAGGTGCAGTTACTTCTGTTGAGATTCAGGTGGAAGTCAAGTTGAAATAGAAACTAGTTCTGTGTCCTGCTCCTGCTACCAGGCTTTCACCAGAGTGAAAATCTCTTCAAGTATTTGCATTGAGTAGGGTCCAAACTAGTTAAAATTGAAACCTGATTCTGTCATGTATTGTGTCTCCCCAGGCGGTAAGGCTGCACCAGGCGGTAAGGCTGCACCACCTGCAGAGTCACTTAGACAATAAAGTTACTTCTTGAAATTTCTCATCTTCCCTAGACTGAGTTATTAGCCCGTCATTCATTCCTCTTTGCTGCCTATCTGAAGCAAGTATCACTGCAGAGATCTTCTTGTACCTCTAATTACAGCAACAGAGTACATTTCAATTAAAAACAGATTAAAAATTGTTTTATCAACATTTCTAGGAGGCCTCAAATAGAACAGCCTTCAGCACATTTAGTTAAAAGACGATGAACAAATTCAACAGGGGTTGTCATTAGAAAAAAGTCACTGAAATGAATGCCTGATTTTGAAGATATTCAGGTCAGTCTGTGATAGCTTCAGTGGGACAATCATCTTCTGCAGCAGGATAAGCAGCAGCAGAGGATTGTTCTGAGGGGGTGTTTTCTTCTGTATTCCAAAGCTTTTTTCACTTGCTCTTTAGCTTCTCCTACATAGTCCTCAACATTTTGCATATTTATCTCAATGACGTCAAAGGTGTCTGCCTGTTCCTCCACTAGTAAGGCCACCTGCAGAAAGAGCTCATGAACTTCCTTGATGCGACCTTCTAACTTCACAAGCTCCTTATGACGTGTCTCAATCTCATTCAAGGCAGAGCGAGCCCCCTTAACTTCTGACAAGAGATTCTCAGAGAAAACATCCCACTTGCCTTGCTCAATCATCTCCTCAATCTGGTTGCCAGAAACATCTTTGCCCATTATCTCTAGCTGCCGCTGAATTCGAATCTTGCAGTTCTCTCGTTGGTTCATCTCTGCTGCATTGTATTCAAACATGGCTCCCTGAAATGAGTGCATGAGATCAACGTAGTGGTTCTTTGCTACCCTGGCAATAACAGACATAGCCCCATATTTTGTTACTGCATCTTCACAGAAATCTCTCATTATGTGAAGTTTCCTGTGGATGCTTTCTCCACGGGCCTTAATGTCTCTGGCAATACAATTAGTATCTCGTTTGATGCTACTAAGACGGCGCATGGAAGTAAGAAAGCGGTTGTTTTGCTTTCTGAGCCGCTTCACATCCTCTTTTAGATAGTCATTTTCTGTCCGGATGTTCTGTATGTCGTTATGGAGAATTTCCAAGGCATAATCAGTCTCATAAAGCAGAACATCGTGGGGTGAATTTTCATCATCCTCACTTTCAGTAAACTGTTGGTTGTGTAACCTGGCTAATTCATGCAGCTCGTTTAGCCGGTCCTTCATCCTGCCTGTAAGTAGAGGAAGAGAAGGAAAGAAGTTTAAAGTAAATAAAATACTGATTTACAAGTATTAGAAGTTCATAACTAATAACTACATCATAGAATACTTTGAGCTGGAAGGGACCAGTAAGGATCACAGATAACATAATTACATCAAAGGTAACCCAAAATATCTATTTTTAATTTGTTCAGTGTATGTTTTACACTGATGGATCTCAGATACAAAACACTGGTGCTAGAACCCTCTTCTAGGAACTACAACACTTAGAATCCAAAAAAGTTCAAGAGATAAGACAAAAAATCCTGAAGACAAATCCAAAAGTTCGATTAGACAGTTCTCCCCCACCACAAATGCTAGTCTTTCACTTGGAGAAAAAAACAAACTCTTGAACAAATGATAGAAAGCCTGCAGCTATCAATATGTGAAGATGTATTATTAGCTGAATGCTTCCCACCACTGTTCATTAGAGAACTCTTGTCTAGATCCTGACCCTTCATTATATCAACTGCCCCAAATGTCACAGGTCCTCTGTCATTCTAAGCTTGCTTTTCCTGAGGAAAGACTGGGAAGCCTCTCAGAGCCAGAAATGGCATTTGAGGAAAAAAAGTTTTGAGAAATGGTGTGGAAAGTATCAAGGTAGGATAAATAAATAAATAAATAAATAAATAAATAAATAAAGCAAAGACACATATAGGGCCTCCAGATGCAACCACTGACCATGGCATACCAAGTGTCAGACAAAACAACACAGTGCTAGCAGCATTTTGTAAGCAAAACCATCCACCCAAACCTTATTTTTTGTATGATGGAAACATCCTACTGGAGGAATAAAGTAACACCATTGTTCCAGATCAGGATCTGTTTTCTATGTGTTTGCTTCACATGTACTTAACTACAAATTTCATTAAAAAAAACACAGAATGAGTAATCTGCACAGATCAGTTACATGGTAACAAAGCATAAGTCTCATTTAAGTATGTTTAAGCTGTAAACTTCCCTTCACAAAATCTGTATCTCCCATGACTCATTTAAATTAGTAAGAAAGAGAACCATGTTAAGAATCGGCACCAAACAGGACACCTCTAGATCTCTGTGTCTGCAGGATTCATTTTTGTTTTCCCAGGAATTAAAGTGTCTTCACAGCATTTACAAACATGCTACCACCATGAACAACACATCCCTTCATCGAATCAGCAGTTATTCCCAGGTTAAGAAAAGTCACATATCTACATGCTCAGGAGAATAGGCCTAGATCTAATGTGAATTAAAACTGCAAGTTTATAATCAGTTTCATGGGACTGTTCAACGTGTTAAAGACATTAGGGAGGATATTGGAAAGATTCCATCACAGGTACAGCCCCCTGGGCTCATGTAGTTCATTGTGGTGTATATGCTGGTCTTGCGAAGCATCCAGATTAGGATCACATTTACAATGAAGCAAACAAGTGAATTTCAACTTAAACCATTTCTTTTACAAGCAATGTAAATCAATAAAGTCCATTAATATCCTGACAGAACAGCCTTCATTCAGGAATCTGCCCATGTAATGTAATTGAATTTAAAATATAAGCCACATAGATTCAACTCACAATGCTCATCTGACTGCATTCATGACTCTTACTGGCTTCCCTAAAGCTGACAATCCTACTTCTAGCCTCATCCTTGAACTGTCATGTGCTGTGTTCAGCAATTTATTCTTTTTGTGTTTAGCATCTACGTTTAACAGCACACGATGTTTTTTATGACTTTAAAATGGCAGTCCACAGCAGCAAGGTGCCATTCGGTGTAAACTAACTCATGTGTGTGCAGGACTATGTTGCCTTTGTGCTTGCCGTTCCCCGAACCTGAGAAAAACTGTATTTCATCAGCTTTCCTTCCACAGAGAGCAGACCGACAGCTGGCTCAACAATAATTACATGTTATTCTTTGTGCTTGAAAAACACAAACAGAAAAACACACTAAAAGCTGCTATGTAATAAAGTCATGGTTTTGTAGGAATAGGTCTACCCTTCCTTCTCTCTACCCTGAAAAGTATAAATTGCAACTTGCCTTTCTCACCCACAACTATACAAGGGTGATGGATTTAAAAAAAATAGGAAGAAATGGAGAAGGAAATACATGGTAATTCACAACAAGAAGATACTAATGCTGTAGTGCATCTGTATACTAATTCTGTAGCATCTCGATACAAATAATGCTTTTTTTTAATACAACATGAAAGGTTAAAAAGTCAAGCATTAAAAGAAAAGTAAGGAGCTGCCAAGTGTGGCCTCAGATCATGGTGTTGCCTACACACAGGAAGATCATGCAGTTAAACACTGTCCTATGTCCTTTCACTTCCATCAAGTCTCTGCCTACAGTCTGTGTGTGCTGAATAAAACTTGCACAACATAAAGGGATAATCTCACTTACTATGTTGCTACTGTAAATTTCCTCAGGGATTTCTCCTGTGAAATCTCTGGAAAGCTCCATAAGCTCATAGCAGTCTTCTGGGGGAGGCAGACCTAAGAGCCCCATCCACAGACACAGGTTTCAGCCCACAGTGATTAAGGACAACATTATCACTTTTGATGAGTTATGATGCCCACTTGAGACACCTGAAGCACAGGTTTTCATACCTGGTATGTTCAGAAGTCAGCTGCTTCTGACTTTGGTCACTGCTGCAAGCCTTGGGGACCGAGTAAGATGGTAAAGTAACAAGCTGGACATCAGTGAATGAGCACATGGATCAAGGCCACGTGTGAGAAGCTTGTCTCCAATGATATGTACAGCATCACCCAGAACTTCCGTGACCAGCAGATCCAGTAGAATCCAATTCTAAATGTGAATAGAAGAATCAAATTATAGCTGCACTGAGAATCTTTAACCTGGAGTTTCCCAGTTTCTACGTGCTTAGCTCTAAAAACTACGTTATTTGAAACTACATACCAAAGCTTACATTCAAGGTAGTCAACATTAGGAGTTTTTAACTCTGCACTGAGGACCTGTACCCATCAGGGTAATGGCTCCTAACCAAAGGATGCCACCTCTTCAAGCCTGACTTCAGAGTCCTGCAAAATCAGGGACTTTTGGACATCTTTTATTCTCCCCAAGTCCTGTTGTTTTCTCTGTGTTTCTGAAGTTCACCACCTAGCCAGCTTCCCACTTCACCTTCCCATTTTCAAGATGCTTTTCTTTATCTTCATACATTTACTGGACAGGATGAAGGACAAAAAAAAAAAAAAGACTTTCTGCATGTACTTCAGCATCATATTAGGCCACAAACGCCACAGATTGCAGAGGACACAATTCAACAGCTATTCAGCTTTGTGCCATAGTATGCTCAATTACTCTGTGGGTAAGCATTTGCAATATTTACCCCAAAAAATCTGTGAGGTTCATGAAAATGTTTAGATTTCAACTTTCTTGAGCACCTTTAGCTCAAGGAACAAGTAGATTTATTTGGGACACTTGCAAACTCCTGCTTTGAGAAATTCATAATTTGGCAAAATTTTAGGAGTTTTATAGAAGAAAAACAGTAGGCTCAAATGCAATGCCACCACAGGTCTTTCCCCACTTCAAATTCCCATTTCAAACATAGGGGAACCAGAGCTTCCCAAGAGAGGACAGTAACTTCCAAGCATTCCTTTGATAGTGTCAGGGACAAAACTGACACTAAAGAGATGAAAAAAATGCACAAACAAGCATGAGAAAGGAGGGGGGAACAAATACCTGAAAAATTTCAGCTCAACGGATCAGCATTTAGAAAGGTTGACCTCCTTTATCAGATCCTGTTGTTACTCAGGGAAGTTTACATCTGCTTACATGTTGATAGCATTGCTTGCCATTAAAACAGCAGTGTATTAATATATAGTGCATTAGTAGTTGTTAAGGATAATCTCAGCACTAATTCTTTAAAACGAGCAATAGTCTCTCTTTTCATATAGGGCCTGGCACAGCAGTATAAGTTGGGCTCCCAGGCTAGAAAGCAGCTCTGCAGAGAAGGACGTTGGTGTGCCGGTGGACATCGAGTAAGCAATGCGCCCTTGTGGCAATGGAGGCCAACTGCATCCTGGGCTGGAGCAGCAACAGTGGTGGAGGGAAGTGACCCCTTCCATCTGACACCTGAGAGTACACATCTGGAGTGCTGTGTGGGTGCCGGGGCTCCCCAGCACAAGAGACATGGACACATTGGGGTGAGCCCAGGGGAGGACACCAAGGTGGTCAGAGGTGCTGAAGCACTTGGTGTACGAGGAGAGGCTGAGACAGCTGGGAACGTTCAGCCTGGAAAACAGGAAGCTTAAGGGAGATCTTGTTGCACCAATTGTGCAATGCAAGGGAAGACCCTTCATGGAGATGTACAGCGACAGCACAAGAGGCAACAGACCCAAGTGAAAACACGGGAAAAGCCAGCTACATAGTAGGGGAAAAAAGGGAAAAAAAAAAAACAACCCAAATCCCAAACTTTCAGAAACACTAGAAAAGGTGCCAGGAGAAGTTTTGGAATCTGCATCCTTGAAGATACTCAAAACTGTACTGGACATGACCCTCACCAACCTGAACTACCTGTGTGTGTTTTGAGGGGGGATGGATTGTACAACATCCAAAAGTCAAGTTCAGATTGTTCTTGTACTCAGCTTTACATCAAAAGTTGGTGAATTTGACCATGAGTGCTAAATATTTAGCACTTATTTCTTTAACACAGGTTTATTTAAGATACAGCTAACACATTAGAATATCAAAACACCAACTGCTCTGTATTCTGGAATAACAGCCCCAAAAGTATAAATACCTTAATTCTCAGAGTGTGTGTTTTAATAGATTAGCTGCTAGTTTGATTTTCTTCTAAAATACTGTGCATATTCAAACTGGAACATATCCTTCCATGTTTGTATTTTTGAGCTAGCTAAATCTATCCCTGTAAAAAACAGGTTCCTTCTGCAGTCCATCATGGTGTGTACACCCAACCATACACACTCACACACAGGAAATATAGGCTAGGTAATGACTGTAGAGGTTACAACTTTAAAACCAGACACGCACCAAGTATATACAGTCAGCTGAGGATGTGTTCAGTACTCTTCATGTTGGCATGCTACTTCTTGATATTAATTACCATAATGACTAGCTCTCCCACGATGCATGAGAAAGAAGTGAGCTGTCCTGTTGCAGTAAGACTGCAGCCCATACAACTCTCTGTGATATGGGATTTCAGATGGGAAAGGAAAATCTGGCTCTGAAAATCTGTACCTGTGCATACACATAAAACCCCTTTCTGTTAGCCCAACACACATACCAATAGGAGTCCTGCAGAGCATACTTGCACTGCTGTGCTAATGTTATCAACATAGAAATAACATAAAGATGAAAAGTTATTTCTGTAGAAACAAAAGAGTTGCACACCTTTATTTGAGCTTTGACATTTGTATATCTTATCCACACCTCAGTTTGGGGACAAACAGTGAAATAAAGCTGCAGTTTCAGTATATCATCCAAATTTCATCACTGGGAAGGAAGACAGTTTATGTCTTTTCTATTTACTGCACTCATAAAAGGCAGCTGCTAGTTAACACCAGCTTGTGGATTAACAGAAGTCTAGTCAGTAATCATTCTGATCTTTGAGTAGGGCTTTACAAGATGAAGCTTTCACTTCAGTTGAAGTGGCCTATCTGAGGAACAACAGATACTTCAAAAGAAGCCAGTTAAAAATAATATATCATCTCAGCAATTCTCTCACTCAGAAGGAAGAAGTCCTTTTGTGCTCCACTACAAACCCACATGGCTCAGCCTATCTCTGAATGACATGTGCTCTTGGTTGGATAACACACAATAGATGTGACCCAAGAAACAAGTGGTGAACAACTGGGAAATAACCAGCTCCTAAGCAGAATTACTTCATTGCCAAGTGTGCATCAGCACATTCCAGTAACTTCCCATACTGTCTGTAGAAGATGCAGTATTGATGGAAATCCACTTAGATGGACTAGCTAAGTCGAACACACTCTGTTACAAAGAAATAGTGTGCTGCTGTGGCAGCAAAAATTCAAGTCATATATAGATAAAAGAAGTGTTAAATGCAGCTGAAACCGTTCATTTAGGAGTTGGAATCTCAGATTTAATCATAATTTTCTAGTATCTTTCTGTTTTGGAAACAGTGGTCTTAGACCAGATTTAATAATTTTGCCTGCTATCTGTTGTCCAGTAATAGATTTAATAATATTAATTAACTTGGAAAACAGACTGTTGTTTACAATAGGTTTTCCTCTTTCCACATGAGCTTCTAATTGGCTCACAGCAGAATTCTAGTCATCTTTTCAGACTAAATTCCCTGATTTCCCAATCTTGCCCATCACTGGTGGAACAGCAGGCTTGAATTTCTCAAATTTCTTTTTTCTTTCTTTTCATCTATAGGAGCTTAAGGAAACACCCAAAATCATAATCTAATTATTAGGATAGATTCCCTTCTGGAGCTGTTTTAAGATCATATCTGTATATAAACTCCAGTATTAAGAACTATGACAGAGATCAGCATTTCAAAATCTTTCTGTAGCTGCACTGAAAGGAACTTACCTTCTCTGCAGTTTCTTGGATTGGGCAATGTTTAAAAATAGAGAAAATATATTCAGGACTGAAAATACATCAGTTAACACAAGGCACCAGTTACAAAGCTACAGAAATACAGCAAGAAGCTGTATTTGAAGACTAATAGACACTATCCACTTCATGTTGTTGTCAAAGACTGCATACAGCAGGATACCTCCTCTATACTTTCAGTCACCCTAGTGAGAAATGTATGCAGTTGCAAATGTCTTATGGCAGGTTTCTTTTTCCAAAACCTTACATGAAGTGTCCACTTCTCTGTTTGTTCCGGAACAAGTTATTTATTCTTTGCAGGCTATTTCTGCAGTTGCCAGAATCTCCACATCTCCAGTGGTTCCCTTCCTACTTTAAAGGCTAGGAAAGGCCTAGAGGGAAAAAAATAGCATTCAGATAGTTTGTTGCCTCTAACTTAAAGTAATGATGTAATAATTGCTTGAATATTGATAGCTTTGAAGGTTCTTCTTTGACTTCACTCAGTTTCTTTACCAGTACTCAGTCTCTTCCGCATAAAGTAACTCTCAATTTTTGTATGATAGCATAACTACAAATTCAAGGATCTGGGGTGCATCTTGTACTCCCAGATGCATTCAATGCGGTTAACCATCTTGGTGCTTGCCATAGGCTGGTCATCAGGTTTTGCAGACATCAGTATCAAAACTAGGCTGTACTAGGGCAACAGACAAAAAACTTTCTCCACCTTCAGTAGATGGCCAACTGAAAACACTTGCGTTTTTTGAACACTTCCCAAAACTGGGAACTCTCTCCAGCAGTCATCATACTTCTGTGTACAAATGGAAGTTAAGGACAGGAAAGCCTAATGCACATCCCAAATTTAGCCACTTCCTTTTCATAAGGATGCTAAAATCAGAATATATAGTTATATATTCTGTTATGTTATATATATAATATACAGTTAGCAACTGCAGACATTGAAAACCTGCCAAATCCCTGGAATCCTTGAGACCTGTGAGCTGACTCCAATCAGTTTTAATGTGCACAGCTTGCCAAAAACCAGAACACCATTACAAAAAAGTATCCAAACATGCACAGGATTGTATTTTACTCAGAGGGGAGAAAACCAGTCCCGCATCACTCTTCATTCAGTGTTTTCCAGTACATGCAATGTGATTTAGGCTGAGTACAGCATGACCATCCTTCCTGCCATAGGGAGCACTAAGGTCTTCAGGTAAAAATGACCTGGAGGCTAGGGGAGCAAAAACTGTATCTCCATGGCTTGGCAAATGGTTAAGAGAGAGCCATGCCACTCACATAAACAGTGAGACAGCCGTACATGTATTTCTTGGCAATTACTACAGCTTGGGATCATTACAAGTCACTGTGCAAGAAAATCACACGATGCACTCACAGGCAGTGCTGTCACTACAGTGCTGTGAGTACATACATTATCTAATTAATTACCCCAGCTTCCCTGAAATACATTGGCTCAGCAAAATAGTTACGTACATACCACATTTATGTAACTACTACTGCTACCACGCAGTGGTATTTATAAGTGATTAAGACATTATGCTGGCATCCAGGTAGAAATATAAGGCTGCATGTGATCATCAGTCAGAAGCAACACGTTCTACAGACATTTCTAAATCAGCACAACAGCATTACTTTTTAAAATACACAGATATTTAAAGCTTGTAATGCAGTGTTAACATCTCAGATTAAATGCTCTTTAAAAAAATCCCTTTAATGTTAAATACAGGATGTTTCTTTGGTATTTGTTCATGTGGGCCAGTACACATGAGGCTCAGTTCTGGATCCTACTGCAAAATCTACACAACTGTAACTGGGCCAAAATAGTTTCAGTCAGGAAATAACCCCACAGCCACACATACATACCCACAGCTCAGCCCCAAGACATGTCAGGCGCTGGCAGGCTTTATGGCAATTACTTGACATATTTTGCAGCTCATGGGTGTTTACAGGCCTGTTCAAGGTACCAGACAATTTGAGACAATATCTAGATTAGGGACACACCAGCCAGTGGTACTCAGAATGTGTTCCTGACGGGGCATAAACAAAGGTCAAGCAAGATTTATTCTTGCTTTCAAAAATAAGTGATTTGACACTAACACATATATGGCACAGAAGGAAGGTGTAGCAGGAAAAGCTGCAGAGTTCAGCACTGTCTGGGCTTCTGTAAATGTTTTCCAGGAATAATCTTTGCAATTAACGTGTTAACTGTCATAGCAGATAAAGCAAAAGCTGCACACATGATAAGCTTTCTTATAAGCCTTCTGAAGTTAAGAGATGTGACATCTTTCCCTCTTGATAAACTACAGAAATACGCTCTAGATGAGAAGCGCTGAACACTTTGTGTGACAGGCCAGATGAGATATACTAAGATGCTCAAAC